TATATATATATAAAAATATATAGATTTTTCTATATATAGTTCATATGCTACAGATGTAGGAACTCATATGAATAGTACATATTCTATCCTAGAACATAGTAATTTTTATTTGTGTTTAAAATCTTAAAAGTGTTCTGCCCCATTCCACCTCGATTTTTCTCCTGTATTTTGCTTAGTACTTTTAATATCTCTAGTATAATTCCCTGAGCTCTTGCCTGTTGTTTTCCTACCGTGGTCAGCACGGCTGTGTTTGAACACAAGTATCAGGGTCCTAAAGCGAAACAGGTTGGGTTAGACACACCCACCAAAAATTGCAGGGAAGCAGGCTTTAGACTTGCAGCCCTACAACATTAGAATAGCGCCGCAACACCTGTTTTCTTATTTCTTCTCAGGTTTTTCAGCAACGCTTCCAGTAATGGTGTGAGTCAGAAAATGGCTTGCAAACCAACTTTCTTTGAAATATTTAAGGCACATTGCAGTGATTCAGGTACACCTTCTCTACAGTAAATAATTTTTAATTGAAGTTGCTTTCTAGACATTGATATTTTATACATAGCTGCTGTATGTTCCATAGAAAAGCGTTATGGAACTTGTTAGCTGTTCTTCTGGCCTCAAATCTGTATTTGCTACTATGTATCTATTTCTTTAATTATATATTTGTATCTTGTTTCATAATGTGAGCTCATTTGCTTTTTTGTACTTGTTTTTTAGCTGTGACTTCCTGTCTGCACATGCAGATCAGGTTTAGTGGTTTGCTAAATGCACCCATAGTAGTATGATTTATTAATGTTAAAAGTGACCTGTTTAACTTGCCAGTCTGAATAAAGTAAGAGAGAAAATAAAAGCCAGATGTATGCTTATTAAACAAACTGGAATTAGTTATCTGCTCTTTGGTTAGTTTTGTTAATGGCCTGAGAATTTGGGCAGGCATTTCTTGTATACTTTGCTAGTATTAGAGTTCAAAGCTATCTGGAAGCAAAACTGAAATATGGCAATGGAAGGAGCAATGCATTGTGCTGCTAGCTTTTAAATGCCTAGTATGTTTTCACATCATGTGTGGAGGATTAATTTTGTATTAATTTAGAACTGATTACAGTCTTCTCTTACATGTATTACATACAGAATGAAGAGTTCTGTTTTATGACCTAGTATAAGAACATACTGAACTCTCTATTTGTTGTTATATGTTATTTGCTTGCCATTAGTCACGTTTCTTTCCTTTGTTTTCTGGGTTTTTTTAATGTGTTTTTCTGTATGTTTTTATTCAAAGACTTAGGGCCTATCAGTCTCAACTGGTTTGAAGAACTCAGTGCAGAAGCACCCTCATATGAGCCTAAATTGTTAGGAGAACCTGATGTTCCCTTTGGCTGGCCTGATCAAACATCTTATAAAACTCCAAAGGCAAAACCTTCCACATGCAGTCAGCTGGCATCAACTCCACTGATTTTTAAAGAAGAAAATACAGTATTGCCACCTTACTGTTCTCCTGGAAAAGAACTGGATCAGAAAAAAATAGAAGCAAGTGAGTAATCTTCATTTTTTTGTGAAGTGGTACTTAGAGGGTGCTTGTGCCCCTCAGAGGCAAAAAGCTTTTTTTCTTGTTATTGTTGTTTAACTTTTTGTTTTGGTAGCTGATGATGATTAATGTACTAGATAATGCTACTGCAGCAATTGTATCAGTATAAAGGTTGTATTAGTAGGCTTCTGAAGATCACCTGTAAGCTCAGTGGTTTGAGCACGGTGCTGACAAAAAGGACCAACACCGAGGTCACGGGTTTGATTCCCACTCGGTCCCCATGTGTTGTCTGGTCTAGTCGAGAGGTGGCGTCCCTGCCCAAAACAGGGAGGTTGGACTAGATGATTTCTAAGGTCCCTTCCAGCCTAGGCCATTCTGTGATTATGAGAAGTAATCTTAGAAATTAATTCAGCCCTGCAATAAAGTGGTAATGTATATGAAAAATTCTCTGTAGAAAATCTATTGTCCTAGTCCTAATACCAAAATACTGTTAATATAAGGAGCATATGAGCTTATTAGTGTAACCTGACTGAGAATCTGAGTGATTTTTTTATTTTTATTTTTATTTATCAGTAAGGTTTGTGTTTTATACAAAATCTCTGAAAATCTCTTGCAGAGAGTGCTTATCATGCTGAAGTATGAGGTGATCTGTAGGGCACTCCTTAACCTTTCTTAGGAAGATTTAGAAGCACTAAGCTCTTTGAGGTGGTAAAACTGTAAGTCATGGAAAGAAGTTATACTTCTCCTTTTGGAAACAAGGAATCCTGCCACTTTCATGATGCAATGAGAAGTACCTCATAAAAGTACATGTCACTCTGCTCCTTTTTGATGTCCCTTCAAGCCATAATACCTATGGGAGCATCTGGGGAGGAGTAGCACCAGGCACCAGTACAGATTAAGGGTTGTCCTGCTGGAAAGCAGCCCCATGGAGAAAGACCTTGGAGTCCTAGTGGACAGTGAGTTGTCCATGGAACAGCAATGTGCCCTTGTGGCCAAGAGGGCCAATGGGATCCTGGGGTGCATTAAGAAAAGTGTGTCCAGCAGGTCTAGGGATGTTCTCCTCCCCCTCTACTCTGCCCTGGTGAGACCACACCTGGAATACTGTGTCCACTTTTGGGCTCCCCAATTCAAGTGAGACAGGGACCTACTGGAGAGAGTCCAATGGAGAACTACGAAGATGATTAAGGGACTGGAACATCTCTCCTTTGAAGAGAGACTGAGAGAACTGGGGCTGTTTAGTCTTGAAAAGAGAAGGCTGAGAGGACATCTAATAAATGTATATAAATAACTGAGGAGGGGGCGTCTTCCCAAGGATGGGAAGATGACTGCTACCAAAGTTTCTATACTTACTTGTGGCTGGCCCAAGATCTTATTCTGCTGGTTTTCTCAAAAGGAGTTGACTGGCTCGCCTACCTTAGTTTCCTTCTTGTGAAGGATGGAAGCCTGAATGGATTTCACTTTGGTGTGGTACTGGGATGCAGCTGTGCCACGTGTACAGACTCAGGGACTGAGAAGAAGAGAGAAATGCAGAAACCTAGGTGTGATTTCTGATACGGAAGTTATGTGGAAATTTCTGGGTAGGAATTCTTTTGAGTAGATGCTTCGTGTGAGCAGCTCACCATTCAGAAGATTCTGCTGCTTTGGTGGCCATGCTCTCTTTTGCTTGGAGATGCACAGCATATCAGTCGTTATTGCTACGAGTGACAGTGCCTCCACTAACAGTCCCAGAAATATTTTTTGTTTTATGCTGCTGATTCAAATCAAGAAGCATGTGTCTTAAGTAAATTGGAGAGAAAGCTGGTACAAATGCATGTTTGTATGTTTTCAGTGAGAATAACTGCTGCAGTGATAAGAAAGGCACAATACCATATACTAAAATGGAAATGTGACTTGAATCATATAAAGGAAACATACTGAAATGTGTGTATGTCAAATGAATAGACATAATGAGCATTTTTGGGTGTTCATTTGAAATGTGCTTGGTATTGTTTGAGTATAGAATTTGAACATGTTCAAATCACTAGAGGAAAAGATAGTGGTTTGTTGGTTAGGGTGTTTTTTAAACTAAAAATCAGACATTGCATAATATTTCAGAAGATTAAACTTCAAAGTCGAAACTGTTCCTTGTAGTTCAGCAAGACTGCATTATTGTCTTCTGTGTTGTAGGCAGAGAAAATTTGATAAGCCCAAGTATCCCGAGAAGAATAGATCAAGAAAATGAAATACCTGCTTCTCCTTCTGGTACCTACCGCAACTGCCTTGCTGCTAGGTAGGCTAATATGTCAATACAAATATAAACTGGATTTTAAGCAAAAAGAAATATTAAAATCACCATGGTTGACTGACAGACTTCTTCAGAGCAGTCAGTAATCCTGTATGTCTTGTGTGTGTATGATGCTTGTAAGTTTTTAAGTGCACTGAAAATAAAACACAGGCTGATTGAGATCTTCCTTCCTTTTAGATGTTCTTCCTTTCTATTTTTCTGCCTACCACAGCTGGCATATGGAATTTGTTGACTTTATTTCAGTTTGCCAAATCCTCAACATCCAATGAAAGAAAGAGTAGTAGCGATATATTGTGTGCTTCTCAAGTAGTAATTTGTAAAGCTATTTACTAAAAAAAATCTCAGTAAATATTATAATAGCCTTGATTTCTACATTTAAACGTATATACTTAAGATAAATCTGATCAAAGTAATCATGTTGATTATAAGAATAAACTAATTATTTAATTAAAATCAGTTAGGCCAATTTCCATAGTTTCATACAGCGTATTATGAAATGCATGATTATACTGAAATCTGTTATACTATTTATCAGACATCGTTGCTGAAAATTAACTTATTTCATGAAAGTAGCATTTTTCAGCTTCTGATAAACTTATGGTAAGGTTTAAAATACTGACTGATGGTTAGGAGAAATCTACATTTCATTTACAGAAATAGCCATGATTGCAAAGAAAGAAAATACTGGAAGTTTTAATATATGTAATATCTGAAATATTTACTTATTTTCAAAATAGAGAAGGGAAATTAATATTTTTTTATTTGGTTTTGTTTTGTAGTCCAACAATTTTAAGGAATACCTACAGAACACCCCAGAGAAGTAATATGCCTGGTTTGTATTTTCACTTTCGGTTTTACAAAATATCTGATCTCTGTAGATATAAATCCTTAGGTATTATTTAATGTCCTTAATACATAATGTCTTTTAGGACCATATGGAAGCTTGTTTTGCACACCAAAATTTTTGGAGGTAAATATTTCATTCCTGTATTTTGTTTTCTTTTTCTTGAGTATGATATTTAGAATTTTGCATAGAAATAATAATAGTTAAATATATTTCTAGGTCAGAACTCCAAAACGTATTTCTGAAAGTCTGGGAGCAGAAGTGGATCCAGATATGTCCTGGTCAAGTTCTTTAGCCACACCTCCCACACTTGGTGCAACAGTGTTAATAGGTATTTCTAAAAACTTACAGTTGCTAAAGCTATAGTTGTTAAAAGCTTCTGGGTTTGACACTGGAAGCTCACTTAATGTGAACTGATATTTTTAATTAAGACAAAACTCTTACACAGTGATGTTGAGTGTGTGACTGCAAGTAACGCAGCCTTAAAAGGAAGAAATGAAATTAAATGTGCCATTGCTTTTGAAGAGTTTTCTTCCTTTGTATAAGGGATTAGGGGATGTAAATTTAGAAGTAACATAGCAAAACACAGAAAGAGGGTTAGATAATGATTGCTTTGCACTATCACAAAACTAGATACTATTAGTTTAAGTTACATGAGGATGTTTATGAAGTCTAAGGACCTGTTGTGTGAACTTCCCAGCAGCAGTGCCGGCTTAAGCGTTTTTGACCTCTCTCACTATCCCTGCCATGATATTGACACAGTGAGACAGGCTGAGGTGCTGATCCAGTTGAAGCCTCTATTTCCTGAGATATTTGGAGAGGGCAATTCCTGGACCTTATGTACTGCACAGCTGCACAAAGAGCTGTGCCAGCATAACTGTGAATGAGTGGGTGATAAGTGTTTAAGTGGTAACTGACAGTGATGCTAAAGATCAAGGCTTCACCAAAAGCGTGGTTGTAAGTGAGATTTCATTAGCATTTGATAAGCAAAATGAAATTTGACTGTGTGATTTGTTGATGACAATTCTTGGGGAAAAAACATGAGGAGACCTGGATGTCTGCTTATCTTCTGAAATTGCTTTTTTAAAATGTTATTAAACTACCCCTGTATAAAGTATACAGAAGGTGCAGGTGTATAAATGAATGTTAGAACTGGGAATCTCCTGCGAGAGACAGGGTGCTGCTATTCGTAAGGCTGCTGAGTTGTGCCATTTAGGGTGTTTTTTGGTTCAGAACTATGTGACCCAAAAAGAAAGGCTTGGGGGAAGGACCTTTAGCTTACTGATGTTTTTCTGGGAAGTGAGTTGTGGTTTGAGCTCTTACTCTCCCACTTCCTGGATGAGCCTAGTACTTTGCAGTAGTGATGCCCACTCTCTGCCATCTGACACCTGTGAAAGAGTGAGTCATTTGGCTGTAACATGGAACCTAATTGCCACGCCTGTGAAAGAAGTTATCTGAATATTCTGCTCTTTGGGCATCTTCATAATAGGGTTCACTTTCTCCTTTTGGAATGTAGGTGAAAAGATATTGCAGCTCTTGTGGCAGTAAATGGAAGAAAATAAAGGGAAAAAAATTCCTGACAGAGGCTTGAAGATGTCATCCTCATCCTCTGACAGAAAAAAAAAAAAGAGTAGTGTCATGAATAACTGCTGGAAGGGAGGATAGCAGTGATGCTGGGCTCAGGGTGGTAACTGGTCTACCTACATAGCCAAAACCACAACCTGTGATTTTGGGTGTTTTATGCTGTTATGAAACTGCATTTGTACACCGTCCTTCAGCCTCACCTGTAGGACCTTTTAGTAAGAAGTTTTAGTTATTTTTCAGTAGTTTTTCTGTTTACAGATTTCACTTGCATTTAAAATAATCTGCTGAAAATTCTCCCAAAACACAGCTGTATTTCAACACACTCAGCAAATCACTGAGGAGCAAATGAATTGACATGTCTGTCTTTCTTCTAAAGCTAGAGAGAATGATTCTATTTCTGGAGCAAAGAATCAGGATGAAAGAGCTGAGAGAGTAAGTCTTAAGAGCTATCTGTTCTTTAATTTCAGCTAAAATCTTCAGTTACATGCTTACATGCCTCAAGCCAAGAATAAAAAAATCTGTCCTTTTCATTCTAGGCCCTCCTATTTGTGTCTTTTTAAAATATACTGCTCACAAAACTAAACATGCAAAACCCAGCTGTAGACTGTATTCTCACAAATAACTCTCTTTGAGGAGTACTTTTGCTGTTTGATTTTGGAAAAAAAACACCAACAATTGAGAAAACCACTTGAATGCAGCCGCAGTAGGAGTCTTTCAAAGAGAAATCAAACCTGACAATTGCAGTATGCTACTTATTTGAGAGTTGCTTGGTTGGTTTGTTTTTCCTCCTCTTTTGTCCAAGTTTTGGGAGTTACTGTTTGGCAGTAACTTCTTGTGCTCAACCACTGCACCAAAAGTTGAAATTGACTATTAATTTCAGTCCTTTGATAGTTAGGGAGAGGTCTTGCATCATTGTAATTTTATTCTGTGCGTATGAAAACTGAATGATTATTCAGACTGAAAACTGAGGATGACACTAATAGGATTCAATTACAAATGTACATTTCATTCGTAACTACCTGAAACTTCACAGTTAATGAACTGTTACATTAAAATCAAGCAAAAAGTCTTTCTTCTTCCTCATATATCCTTTGTTCCTTTTTGAGAAGCTCTCTTACAGTTACCTGCTAGCTGAACCCGTTCACTGCTCTTAAATTGGCTGATTTGCACTGAAAATTGGGATTATCTTCTTATTATCTTCAATTAAAAATTTACCTTTCATTTTAAGAGATGCAGCATTATTCAGCATGTTTAAAGTTCTGGGCTTTATTGTTAAAAACGACATTTAACTGGCATGTAATATAACAGCTTCTGTCTTTGGGTTACAGATTTTGCGCAGCTTTTTTTCCAAAAGTGATAAATGTCCTGGGACGAGTGATGCAAGTACGCTGTTTGTACCAGAGACGGCAAAGCTGAATTCTGAAGATGACATCAGAGATTTTGGTAGGCATTGATACATTACTACCGAGTACAGTATGAAGCAAGATCGAAGGTGAAGTTATGTAGTAGGTCTTGACCTCATCCTGTGGCTCATTTCCTCTGCCAGCTGTGTACTCCCTGAATTGATTCAACTTTGTAAAACTAATCTGGTCATAAAAAGGGGAATCTGCTTCTGGTGAGTCAGGGAATGAAACTGGGTTACTGTGCCACTGTATGACAATCAGATTTGTCCTGGTGTGAGTGAAGGCATGAGACTGTGTGGGAGAGCTGAGACAGAGAACGGTACAGGCTCAAGGGGGAGCAAGACTACTACTACTTCTCGCTATTTGAATGGGTTTACCTTTGTCGTAAAGTTTCACCCCAGTACTTCGCACTCTATGGTAAACTTGGTTTTTAATCCTGATGTATTCTTTCTTCATTTACTTCACCTATTAGTAGTTCAAAACATGACACATCTGGTAGGAAAAGGTAGCGTTGGTTTGGGTTTTTTTTTTTTAATTAATGCAGAAAATGTTTCACCAAGGGAAAACATATTTTCATTCTATGTTCTTGGACCATAGTGAAAAACTGAAAATCTCGTGTGAGCTTTTTTGATTTTTGTTGAGAAATGATGACAGAAGGGAAGAATATTAACAGAATTTTGATCAGCATGTGTGGGTGTAAAAGGGTGCTTTAGAGATTGACACAAGCTAGACAGGATGATGCATCCTTTGGATTGTGTGTCTCCTTATCTGAATTGAATGGACTACCCCAAAAATATTCTTTGGTGGCACTTTAAGAATTGTGAAAGAATCGGTTTAGAATTCTATGAGGAGGGCTGAGAATGCTGGGGTCAGGAAGCATTGTTTCTTGCAGAGAGACATGTGCTGCTGGTTTTGTACTGTAGGTTCAAACATGCTGAGAAAAATATGGAGTTGGTAAAAAACATATTCAAGCAATCTGTCGTCAGTAAATTGCTTCTATGAATGAAGGACAAATTAATGTCCTTTGCTGTGTTACAAAATGGGTTATTGCATCTCATACTGCCGTGGAGAAGGCTAGTTAAAACAGTGTCTGAGTAAAAATAAAATGAAGAAGGAATACGGGGCTTTTGGAAGTACAAAACAGCTTTTGCCAATGTTTTTTTTATTTTTTCCCTCCTTCTGTCTTTCACTTGTGATAATAGTTAACTTGCCCTTTGAAGAGGAAATGTAAAAATAATGATAGCTTAAATCTCCACGTTTGTAGCTTTCACATATGGGTTTTCTCTGGAATAGTGTCATATGATCATGAAAGATCATCAGTTTTATTAGGTAGAGGTTTTGTTTCAGTCCAAGAAAATAAGAGATATTGTAACATTGATGTGAATACCAACACAATTTTAAGTGTATGAAGAGATTACTTATATTGTACCAGTTGCATCCTTAAGAGCAATGAAACTGAATATATGCACTCAGTCTGAAGTACAAGAACTACCAAATATTTCCAAGTTGTTTTGTTGGGGTTTGGTTTTTTTTCTAGATTTTTAGTTGTAATAATTTTGGCAAAGAGGAAATCTGTTTTTAACTTTATATTTAGTGTACTCATGGACTGCAAGCTATGTCTGTCATTTATTAACACTTCAGAATGTTACAAAAGGAGCTCAATTTGCATAAGCATATTCATTTATAACCCAGTCATTAATTCCTAGGGTCAGTGTCCCTAGTTTAAGGCTGGTGATTTTAACTCTAAGCTTTAGGCGTCTGGCCCTTGAGGCAGAATTCACAGCTTTACTGTAGGTATATAACCAAGGTTTCAGAGTTAAAATTCTTTAAATATATAATGATCAGCATGTTGACTAAGAAGCTATTAAATTGAAAAATTAATGGGAAATGTGAAATTCTGCAACATTTTAGATACTTTACCCTGGCCTGTTGTCCAAAACTTCTTGTTTAAACTCTTCAACTGAAAGAAAAAAACAAAAAGTCTTTAATTCCCTTTACAACCCTGATGAAAGTAACTAGTCTATCTTTAACTTCAGTGTCTAGAACTTTTTGTGAAGTAGGAGAAATAGGTTCAATATCCACTGCTTACAAGGAATCAAACCTGAAATGGGGCAGTGTACTCTAACACTCTGTCAGTATGTGACTCCAGAGCAGAAACATCTAATGTTTAAGCCACTTTTATTCCTGAGTGTTGTGTTATTTACCCTAAAGGAGAAGCTTTGAGAAAGAAAGTCAAATAGTTATTGCCTATTCAGGGCACTTAGCGAGAGATCAAGAGAATTCTGCTGAGCAGTCCTTGTTCTGGGCTTCTCATTTCCATGACCCTCTAGTGGGTTTAGACGTTTTTGGTTTTTAACCGGCATCAGGTTATTCAGCATACAATCAGTATCTCTACAGTCTGTCAGATACTCCGGGTTTTCTTTTTACTTTAAAAATAATGGTTTCTGTTTAAGTCAGTGTCTTTTTAGAATGTTTTGTTGACAAATTGTTATAGGATGAAAGGATGTGGACAAAGAATTTACCCCAGAGATATGCCCTTTGACAAGGGGGAAAGGACATGTGTGCTCATACAGTACTGTTACAGTTTCTTCTTTTGAGCTCTTATTTAGCGATACCTTCTGCCACCCAGGCAAAAAACAGGAAGTGAAGAGAATGAGTAACTGTTTGAGAGATGTGAAGAGAGGGTGGTTTTATGCCTGCATTGATGGGTGGATTACAAATAGCTGGATGTGTGTGACCGGGTATTAATGTGTGTATAAGCTTTTAAGGCTGCTAAGGAAATAGAGTTTAGGTTATTTTTTTCCCCATTGCATATTATTTATCTACCCAAACAAAAAATTCTGATTATTTTTTATTTGTGCCAATCATTTGGACTTTGTTAAAAGCTTCCTAATCAGTTAAAAGAATGATAATCTTTTCTAAGCCCTTCTATACCCTACACTATTCTATTTCGAAGCAAAATACAGTTTAATAGAATCATCCTTGAATAACAGTTTCGTTAGCTGCCAATTATAGACAAAAATAGACAGCTTCTTAAGGTGTTTGGTGCCTACCATCTGGTATGCATTTTGGAGGCAAAAAAATCTATACATTTATCTTGTAAAATTTCCTACTCATTCTCCTATCTATAAAAAAACAGCCCAAAATTCTTCCAAGACGTCTAGGTTGTATCTTGGGAATGTGCTTAATCACCACAGTCCTCAGGAGGCCAGGGCATCTGCATGGATGTCCTTTGCCTTCTGTCTCTAACAGCTGCTGTTGGAGAATAAAGTTCTTTAAAGGTGTGTAGATTTGTCTTTCCAAACTCACTCTTGGGTGAAGGTAATTGCCATGAAATTGAAAGCTGTATTTACTGATAAAAACACAGTGCTATTCTGAAGTTATTTCCAAATAACTTAGGAACTTTATTTCCTAAATCTTTATTTTTATTTCTTTTCCTCTCCCTATCTCCTCTAAATTATTTAGAGTCAGAGATGTTAGACGGCTTATTTGGTGAGATGAATAGCTTTGAGGATACATGCAGCATGCCTGCCAAGTCCACTGGGGCTCATCTGCTGATGCCACATGTTCTGGATGCAGTAGAAGAATGTGAAATAGACAGAGATAAAGCACAAGGAAAGGAGGATGTTTCTTCCGAGCAGCCCATTGGAAGGAAGACTGGCATTTCACAGGAAGTGAAAACAACAAGCTGGACTGGAAAGAGCCCCTCTATTGAAATGAAGGTTTCTTTACAACAAAACACAGATGAAGACACGGGGAATGGTAAAGGTGGCTGTTTAATAGGACCTGAAAAGGAATTGGAGTCACCTAGGATGGCAGGAGATGTGCAGGATTGTAGAACACACGAGTCATCTGTGAATGAGAAGCCTTTGAAAGAAGACGTGCTGTCTTCGTCAAGCCAGTGGTCTCAACTGAACTTATCTGATCTTGATGTAACTCACTGGGAAACATCTATATGTAGCTCTCCACCCTCTGACTTGCGTAGAGAGAAAAATTTGGAAGATAAGTCAGTATTAATGACCAAGGATGATGCTGTAGAAACGTCTTTACTGAATACCTCGGGCTCAATAAAAGCACAGAAGCTCTTGAGTGTCAATTTGTCAGAAAAGCGCTGTGAAGTGAAAAATTCTGAAAACAACCCAACATCAGAAGTAACTCCTGTAAAATCTGTGTCTCTGAGTGTTCAAGATCCAAAGTTAGTAAAAGGATGTGCGGCTGAGAAGGTTTCTAAAATGAGCTTCTTAAACAGTAATTCTTTTTTAATTGAAAGCACAAATGTCACAGAGTACTCTCTGGTCTACAATGGCAGCTTTTCCAAGCATTTAAAAGCAACTTCTAAATCTGTTGTAACGGATGTTCTGTCTCACCCACTTGTATGTGGTGCTACATCTCCAGATAATTGCAGTGACCTACATTTAACAAATAGTGAAAATACCCTTACAAAGTCTGACTTTAAGAGCCTGAATGTGTTATCCAGCTTGAGAAAGAGATCCAAGAGATTTATTTATGCAATAAATAATACTTTACTGTACCAAGAAGAAAAAATACAGAAGGAAGTAACCTCTGAATCACCAATTCATCCTGTATTACCGCATTCAGAATCCAACTCTTGTGAATTTAAAGACTCTCATGTGGCCAGTGTTGACAATCAAGGTATATTATTAAGCTGTTCATAATTTGTGGACCATTCTGTATATGTTTAAAAGCCTTTTATCTAAGTGTTTCAGCTAGAATCATGTAAAATTTTGTGTTTGTGAAAAAGTAGCTCTGTAACTGGCAATCGAGATCCAGAATTGGTCTGTTATAATTATAGTGACAGAATAGCATTATTTTCCATTTGTCTTGTGCTAATTTACTCTTTTGTCTCAGATTAGTTTCTGGAATAGAAACTTCCACCTTGAACCATTATTCTAATTGATAGGCTTAATTGTCTTTGTCAGGGCTGTTTAGACATCCGTAGCGTCAAGGGCCGTTCTGCCTGACTTGGTAACTTCTAGGAGATCATAAAGAACAGTACAGTTGTATTATTCTTCTAAAATTAGGGGGTTTAAGACTGTATATCTGTTTTTTCCAGAAGTACAAAATATTTTTAAAAAGCTATATAATGAAACTAAACACAACCCTATTTTAAAAAGATATTTTTCTTGCTAGAAGAATCACTTGGTATTAAGAATTTAAGTACTTCCTTCTGAAGTTTGAAACAAATCCTTATGTTTAGAGACAAGGAATGGAAGCCCATCTCTTCTAATTTCATTACAACTAAAAATGTTTTTTCTTTTTTTTAGCTGGTAGCATTAACTGCAGGCTACTCATTTGTTTCTGGCTATTAGCACACGATTAGATTAAACAGATCTCCCAATTTTGTCAAGACCATGTGTTTGGAGACAAAAATGTTACTTAGGGTACCAGTGTTAAGGATGTTAAGAAATGATCTTATGGGACAAAATTTTATGAAAATCTGAATTTGCATTTTTTTGAATAAATAACAACTACTTCTTTAACTTTTTTTCTTCTATAATGTGTTTTCTTGTAGGCTGCTTGCTTCTTGCTGAGAGAAAGCATTTGCAATCAGATATCAAGGAAAATAGTCTCAGCACTTGTACTTTAAAAATGGATATAATGGATAACTCATCTGATAGGCTGGAGCAACAAGACCTGAGAGTATTGGGGGCAAATGTAAGAGAGCATCAACCCACCACATCATTGAAATGCTTAGAGGTATCTAATACACAGAAAGAAGCCACTGCAGAGTCTTTAAGGGGTGAAATAATTTCAAATATAAAACGTAAAGTTCTAACTTCAGCACACCTAATGGCAAGAAAGCATTCTAGATTGCTCCCTAAATGCTGTTGCTTAGAGAAAGGCACGGAAGACAAGTGTATGAGTGCTAACGTGAACAACGAAGCTCAGAGCCTTAAAGAACAGTTTACATGGTCTTCTCCTAAGGATAACGAGCGCTTGATTGATGTGCACCATGACACTATGTTTGTGACAAACGACAGTCAGATAGACTTTGGCATAAATACAGTCAGTTATTGCTGCAATAAAATATCAACTGATGAAAGACATGCTCCAGATCAGCAGTCAGTAGTTGGCTCTAGAGGAGTACTTGGACCTTTGGGAATAAACCACTCAGAAAACAGTAGTACTGCATTAAAACAAGAGGACAGAACAGTTGCAGCTGCCTTTTCAGAAGCTGTAGCTGAAAATCAAGAGCCAAAGTCAGCTGAAAGCAATGAAAGCCTTCAAGCAGCTGCTGGCAATAACATAGCTGTACAGACTGCTAAAGAACTGTTAGACTGTATAGATGATAAGTCTTTAAATGAAGTAATTTCTGAAGAAGATAAGCGAGTAGCACCTATGTATTCCAGCATAACGGCAAATAGGAACCTAAAGCATAAAGAGAAACTGTCAGGAAATCTTAATGCCTGCAGTTTAAATCTGGGCTTCTGTGGCTTTCAGACTGCTTCCAATAAGCAGATTACATTCTCTGAAATCAGTATAGCAAAAGGCAGAACACTGTTCAAAGACATCGAAAATGACTACTTTGAAGCCTCTTCTGTGGAAGGAGTCAGAAACTTTTCAAATCAAGTTAAAAAGGAGAGTAAATTCTTCTCAGATTCAGAAAGCAAGTTGGGCAGTAATTTATCTGGTTCTTTAGATTCACAGACAAATTTTCTGGAGCCCAGGCATACAGAGTTTATTTCACATAAAGTTGGCTCATGTAGAAGCTTTCCTAGGAGTCAACAATCCTTGCAAGAAACAAATCAAACTTTGACAGCAAGCCAAGAAGCTGAAATTGCTGAACTTTCTAGTATCCTAGAAGAAACAGGTAGTCAGTTTGAGTTTACACAGTTTAGAAAGCAAAGTAACAAGATACAAAGTCATGTCTTCCAACAGCTTGGAACTGTGGAAACGTGTGGAACAACAAATGCGGAAAATATCTCTGAAATAAGGAAAGACGCTAATTTTTGTAACACACTTAAATCTGAAAATCAAGTAAAAAATGACACATATTGTGCTAAGCAGGAAGACATAAATGAAGGCTCTAAAGTGGTGGAATATGAGAAAGAAAACACCATAGTTTTCCATAAAAATGACCAAAAGGTTACTTTTATTAACTTAGACAGAAATGAAAGTAGAGTATCTCATGGGAGCTCTTCAGTAGCTAAACAGGAAAGCTCTTCTAATTTTGTGGGCTTTACTTCAGCTGGAGGTAAAAAAATAAATATTTCTAAGAAGGCTTTGACCAGATCAGCAGAGCTCTTCAGGGACTTGGATGGTGACAACTGTTTCTTTAAAGCTGCTGAAACTAATACTACATGTTGCAATGCAAATGGGCAAGTGTCTTCCAACTGTAACTTTATCACATACCTGGCAAAAGAAAAGAAAGGAAAACCGGTTTGTGCTTCAGATTTCAAAAGTGTTGGTGCCTTCTTCCACCATGCACAGAAAAAAAATGGAGAAACTATTAGTACCCTCTTCAAGGAAGATACAGAAAATCCAACAAAAATATCAGTAGATAATAATGAAAATGTTAATTTCAGTAGTACTAATACTGTCATCAACAGTCCAGCATCCATTAAAAAATATAATCACAATCAAACTTCCAAACAGTTTTTGAATCAAGGAGATTGCCAAGCTGAAGGTAGTTTTCAAGAAGACTCATTAAGCGTATCATGTCTAGGAGATGCTATTACAACTGCAGAAGAACATATTTTATCAGATGAAATGGAAAACCTGTCCTCTAATCAGGAAGGAGAAGACCATAAGGAAAAGGAACACTTGTCACAAAAATTTCAAATTCCAGCTGGTGGTGATCCATCCATCTCTGATGCAGCTTTGGATCATTCTCTATGCTTGCTCAGTGTACAGTTTGGAGAAGAAGATGTAAATGTGTTGAAGGACGCTGATAAACAAAAAACTAATTGTAAAAATACGGAAGGAGAAGACACCACCCATGCTAAGAACCTGTCAGTGAAAGAAAGCAGAATAAAAATAGATTCTTCCCATCATCATCAAATACCTGTTGAGCAAGATGTGGATGTTGAAAAAAATGAAGTGCGAGGGCGTTATCTGACTGGTTTTCATACTGCTAGTGGCAAGAAAATAACAATTGCTGATGGATTTTTGGCTAAAGCTGAACAGTTTTTTGCAGAAAATGTTGATATAGGAAAGGAACATAATGATAATATTGAGAACCCCATGAACAACATGAAATGTGATAAAAGCTGTATCAAAGAATGTGATGTAAGTATTGAAAGCATTACTCACTTTGATCTGGAGAAACTTAATAAAAAACTTGTTCCTGAAGAACCTGGAGATCAGTTTAAGCCAGCAGTAGACCGCAGTCCTATTAAGCACAGTATGATTCTTGATGCTGTTCAAGTAGATGCATTTGTTAATCTAGGTGAAGATTGTGAAAGAAGTTTGGTAACTTCGTATGCACATGAAAAAGCTGATGTCGGACCTGGAAAGTTGGAATCCTTTCCCGGACAGGAGAGTGATGCTTTAAGTAGAACTTCTTTGTCTGAAGATGGAAAACTGTTTGCAGAGGGAGAGATGGAATATTTGTCGAATAAGAGAGATGATTCGGAAATCATGCATGATGTTCCTCTGTGCTCTCCTGCATCTCTGCATTTAATGAAGGTATCGGATGGCCTTGGAGATAGAAAAAAATCTGGATTTGTTGAGGATAGTATATCTGATCAATCCCTCCTCTTAACTTCAAAAAGTAGCTCTTACTTGAACTGTGAGAGTAAGGAATTTGACTTAGAACATTTAAAGGAACCTTGTGCTGATACAAACTGCTTCACAGGCACCATAGCTAATGCTTGTCAAAACCAGTCACAAGTCATTCTTCCTGAAAATGAAACTAATTTAACTAGGTTAAAAGAAACAGTGCTTAATGTTGAAAATCAAAAGGGTGATCCGAAGCAAGTTGTGTTTAGTACAGCCAAAGGTAAGGCAGTTTCTGTTTCCAAAAGTGCGTTAGCAAAAGTCAAACAAATGTTTCAAGAAGACTACAGTGAACTTGTAAAATATGCAACTAACTCAGAAACTAATCAAACAGAAATTGCTGGAAATTCATCTATCATTCATGCCGAGTGCCCTACTTCCGCTAAGTTTTTAAATGCTGGAAGAAGTGAAGAGATTAATGCCTCTGCGTCCCATTTTATTAAAGCAAATGCAAGTACAAGTGAAAATGATCACCAAGATACAAACATATCTGCAGATGAAAAGTCTGTTGCAAATTCTCAGAGGCGATGTTTTGAGCAGAGTATTAAGGTTTTAGGGCACTCGCCTGTTCCAGATAAGCCAATAAAGCAGTCAGATTGTTCTTCAAGAAGCCTTGGATTTTTTAGTACAGCAAGAGGTAAGCCCGTACAACTGTCAGAAGAATCACTCCAGAAAGCTAGACAGCTCTTTTCTGAAATGGAAGGTAGTGATTCACTGCATATACAAGAAGCATTTTTAGTTAAGGAAGGTGTTGGAAAGTCCGAAATGCATGCTGCAGTTGTTCCTAGGAAGACACAGATAGCCTTACGGAAAGGGGAGGAAAATGCCAGCACTGAGTTGATTTCAGATCCTGCTTTTGGGTTCAGCACTGCGAGTGGGAAGCAGGTAACAGTCTCTAAAAACGCCTATCAAAAAGCAAAGGCAATTTTAAAAGAATCAGATGACTTTTTCAGCAGTGGATTTTGTGTTCTAGATCAACTTGGTTCAATTAAAGAGAATGTAAAATCTTTAACTGATAAAGTCATCTCAGAATCTAAAATTGAAAAAAGCTGCAATGAAGACTTTGACCTAAAAAGCCCTGAGGAAATGGAGTCTTTTCCAAGCACTCACTGTGTCATAGTGCCTGAGCATGTACAGCAGAGCAAGAAAAACAAGCAGTTGACATCACTTGAAAATAGCTTTAAGCGGGAGGAGACTGAGCCATTCGGAAAAGGGCAGCTGAATCTGGGGATGAAAACAAAGTCTGAAGCAATTTTGTGCAGTGCTACTGCTAAAGCAGAAACTAATATTGATCTTCTCCAGACTCCAAAAAATTACTTAGAAGTGGAGGCTGTAGAAAGTGCAAGAGCTTTTATGGAAGACGATCTTTCCAATTCTGGAGTAACAATTAATGCTGCACAGTCCTTCAGTGGCAGACTGGATAAAAGCTTTCAGAAGAATACCTTTGGGAAGAGGCGCTTTGAAGAAGAAAACTCACTCGGTAGGTCCTTGTCTTACATATGTTGAACTCTGTATTTCTGCACAGTGAGGGTTGTTTGAGGATTTTTTGCACATCACATTGATTTTTAGGTCCTATAGAAGTGAGTATTCTTTCTCTAGGTGTTCATGACAAAAATTTTTCTTGCTGCAGGTAATAGTTCATCTACACTTTCCAGCCTTAAATGCACAGTAGAAGCTAAATTTGCAATTAGTAATTTTGAAGGTGTGCTGCTTTTCTCTCTGAGCAGAATTCCTTTTTTTTTTTCCCCTCTGCACAAATCTAGTGTTTTTTCGTTGAAGAACGAGTACTAGTATTTCAGTTTTCACCTTTTTATATCTTGCAGGTGAGGATAAGGTTTCAGTTATAGTAGGATTGCTAGTGTGATATGAAAAACAGTTGTTGGTCTAAAAGCACAGTTCCTTACCATCTAAAACTGATGTGTTTCTGGGCTGAAGTGTTGGTACCTCATGCTTTCAGAGTCACTCAGACCTGTTCGGGGATCTGAGCTGGCTGAAAGCTATTTATGGGAGAGCAGATTGCAACAGAGTGGCTGCACAAGTTCAAGTGCAAAGGTTGGGCAGGGGAGCTTGTGAAAAAGCAGACGGGACTCTCTCAGTCCAACTTGAAACAGGTGTGCAACACTTTAACCATACCCGTAGTTACAGCGACTCTAAAAGATGTATTACACATGTGTTTTGGCATTCTGAGGGGGTGCTGCGAGTGCTGAAAGCACAAAAAAAAAGGTGCAGGTGAGCTGCGCTGCTGAAGTCCACTGTGGTGTGCTTTCTGAGGCAGGCTGTTCCAAGTACGTTTGATAAGGCTCACAAATTTTGATCTGGACGGAACAGGCCTACTGACCCCAAAATATTCTGCAACAGACCTCATTGTGTGGAGTCTTTGAATACTTGGTAACACAGTTCTTCTGTACTTTTGCAAATTGTAACCGAGTAGCTGTGTGTTTGAAAAGGCCATTTAATACAGACATGTGGCCTGAGAATTTGCTGCTTCTGCTTGCTCTGATTTCTTGAATGTTTTATTTAGAAAATGTAATTAAGTTACACAGGATTGGTAAGAAATTTGACTTAAAAGGAACATCACTTTTAAAAATCTGTGGTTTTATCCTAGGAGAACCTCCAATTAAAAGACAGCTACTACTTGAATTTAACAGAACAAATAATCCTCCCAGATCTCTGCAAGCTTCGAAAAGCACCCCTGATGGTAATTTTAGTCTTATGTTCTAAGCAGTAATCTGATGTCAGCTGTTACCTTTAGAATTCCACTCAGCTAACATAGTAAGATTGCTTACTTGTTCCTTTTATCAATATAGTAATCGAAATGCAGGGAAGCTGCTGTGGTCATGTCTCTGCTAACTGGAAATTGCGTGATTAATGGGATGCCTTACTGTGTAGAATCTAAATGTATTATGAAGTACTGCTTCTGCAAGACCTCCAGTTTAATTTCCAGCTCGGTGGGAATTTATCCAGGTTCTCACAACTCTAAATCTCACAAATTCTAGTCTCAGTAAGAAGAATGTATTTTGTTGACTTGTAATTTCTCAGTTAAAAACTATCTACAGGAAACTGAGAAGGTACTGGTAATTTCATCTTGTGATAATTTGTGAAGAATATACCTATGGGTAGGTGTCTACATTACAGATACTTTTAATATTTCGAGCCAGTCATATGGAGCCTTATGAATGAGAAATCAAGGGTTTAAAGTTTGAGTTGATTCTTTATATGAAGTTACTTATTAGGTTATTAGGATAATGAGATTTGGGCTTTTGGTCATGGGATAAGCTGGGCTCTTTAAGGAACTTGTTCTTTCTAAGCACTGCACACTCTCACTGCAGTTCAGTGTAGGATTCATCCAATATATTGGTTTAACCAGCATATAGATTCCTGAGTGCTGTCCTAAATCTGTTCTGAGCATAAACCCCATGTTTTAAAGTTTTAAATGAGATTTTTAAGTTGTTGCTGGAGAATTAATCTTATACCCTTGATATGTCAATATTATCCTACCCGGCAGCGGGATGTGAACAGTATTATTCTTTGGTGGAACAACTGAAAGCAGTTCTAATCCCCAGCGCAGTCTTGCCTCTGACTTTTAGAATATACGGCATCTTGTATATATGACTTCTCACACGAAACTTCCTCTTTGCAACCTAAGGGCATGGCACAAAAAAGTTTAAATTTCAGGCAGACATCATTTAGTTACATCAATAATTCCAAGATAAGCATGTCCTTCAATGGCGGAAGGAGGAGTTTGTGCAAATGTGCCCTTTTCTGTTGAGGAAAAAAAAATAAATTGCTAAAGGAGTTCTAAATTGAATGGTGACCCTACCTGGAATTAAATATATGATAAATATTTCCTTTTCATGAGCCTAAAAACATCTTGCATACTCACAGGTGGGAACTTTAAGAGTTCAGCATTGCCCTTATCCTTAAGACCTGTCTGCAGCTAGTGGAAGATATTTTATATGAAGATTTTATTTGTGGGTAAAAAAAACCCTAACACAACAACAAAAAAGCTGGTTAAAGTCACTCCAGAAACTTTTCTGTATGTTTATAACATGAATATAGGAAAAACCATGTGCTGTAAATATCTATCCATGTAATGTACTATTTCAAACATTTTTTTTCTAATTATTTTATAGGCATTTTCAAAGACAGAAGAAAATTTATGTACCATGTTCCTTTAAAACCTGTAACTTGTCAACCTTTTGGGTGAGAAATTTCTAATATATTTTAGAGTTCTTATGCAATTTCTTAAAGCCTCAAAAACCCTTGTAGCTTTTCAAAGATCACAGAACGCATTGGATTACAAGGGACCTCTAAAAGGACATCTAGTCCAACCTCCCTGCAGTGAGCAGGGACATCTTTAACAAATACATGACAATAATTTGCTACTCAACTTTATAAGAGACTAATTAAACATTGCTGCAGTAGACCAGTGAGATGCTAAACAAATTTTACACTTCTCTTTTCTCAATAGATAGAAATTAAGTATTTGTTTTTTAAAATGTCAGAGACTGATATTTTGTCTTTTTATTGACATACTGTTGAACGTTGTATTGCTAAATAAAAAATATAAAACTCCTGACAGATTTTTTTTGTCAGGAAGCTCAAACGTATATGTTTAAATGTTTTCATCTCCATAGGGCTACTAAAGAGCGACAAGAAGTCAAGAATCCTACCCTTACTCTACCAGATCAAGACTTCAAAGGGTTCAAATCCAAACCTGCCATTTTTCAGCATAGTGCCCCGAGGCAGCCTTCACATGGTCCTTCAGGGGTTTCTACTCCATGTAAGGCCTCAGCAAAAGAGAGCGAAGAAACAGGAAGTTTGCACAAATCTGGCAAAACTACTAAAACTTTTATTCCACCCTTCAAAACCAAGGTGACGTTTTCTACAGGGGAACAAGGCAGCAGCAAAAGATGTGGCTCACCAGCTGGCAAAAACAGGACTGATGAGGTGGAGCTAAATCAGACCAGAGCTGAAGAAATTGTTGCTGAACCTCAGGATCACCAGTTTTGCATCCAGCAAGCAGGAGACACTGACCTAGAAAATAGCAATTTAGGTATTTTCAGATTTGGATCACTTAACTGTTGTGCATACTGTCAGAATTGAACCTTTAAGGTTTTTGCATATTCTGTCAGACTTCTTTTTTCAAATAAAAAGAAGCTTCTATTTAAGCCTTTTCTTTGGCAGCAAAATTAGGAAATAACTACTTTCCTAATATTTAATATTGGACCTCTAATAAAGCATATGCAACTCATCTCCAAAGTTAATTAAGAACATGAAAAATTTGTTTTCACACAGCACTTCAGAAACAAGATGACTTACATTTCATTTGATATTTGATTTTATATGTCTCTTAAGTGAAATATTCTAGCAACCTTAAAGACTAGCCTTGCTACACTTCATTCACTTTTACAGAAGCTTGTTTTCATTTTGTTTTCTGACTAAAATATAGGCTTAACAATATAAATGTCCAACTGTATCATTTTTCAAAGAGGCAGAGTTTAAATGCTCAGCTGTTTGACTTTATTTAGAGTGTGGGCTTATGCATTCTAAGCTCTTTTGAATGGTCCACTGTGCATAATTTCTGTAACTATTACCATCAAACGAATCTGGATTTCTTCATAAGGGCTCACTATATTTGAACGGGTGTGTGAACATTTGCAGAATTAGATCCTGTATTTACAGGTCAAAATCTCAGGATTACAGACTTTGTAGTTGTCATCTACTAATTTCTGTTCATATAGAGCCTTCTGTGAAAATAGAAGTCTAATGAGAAGAGTATGTGGATTTAAGTTTAGTTCAGAGACTTACGTATTCATATTCACTTCATATCATCCATTTCATATAAGCATTATCCAAATACCTCTGGTAAACATTGCTTTTAAAATGCCTTAAACTTTGAAAATGTAGATGGTTGCCATTTCTAAAAGCCTGCAGAATGGCTTAGAAATTACACTTCTCTGAACCTGCTTTCATAGTGTGACTGTATATCTTAAACTGATATGCACTCTACACCAGTTTTGATGTTTTGGGGTTGTGTTTGTTTTTTTTCTTTGCAGCAATGGTCAAGATGATGACAAATCTCCACTGTGCCAGAGATCTGCAGGAAATGAGAATTAAAAAGAAATACAGGCAAAATATTAGCTCACAGCCAGGAAGTCTTTATGTCACTAAAACATCTGCAAGAAATAGAATCTCTCTGAAATCTGCAGTAGAAGAGAAATCTCCTAGTTTTTATTCTACAGACGAGGTATGTTGGTATCTTTTTACTGTGTGCTTTTCTCAGGATCTGTTCCTTAAGAAAAGCAAACAAAAACTCGGTAACTTTTGAAAAGATACATTCTTCAATTCTGAGATAAGTATTTACAGTAGCTGTTATACCACACACTACAGTTTTTATGTAGCTTGGCAGATACATTTTTTAAATGGTTCCTAAATAATAAGGGTCATAAATGTCTCTGTAGTGTTATAACCAAACAAGGAAAAAATTCCACCAATTATAGTTGCTATTGATTTTTAACCGATACGAAGAGCTGGTTTAAGATAAGAGCTGAAATTGAAGCTTAGGTAAGTACATCAAAAGCTTCTTGCTTTTGGTACAGTGAAGGTGAATAACCTTTGATTATTTTTTCAGCACTTTTAAAGCACCCTGTGATGCTGGTTTTCTGCTAAAACAATTGCTGACAATTCCTCCATTCTCCTTGGGTTACACATGAAATGACAGGTCAGACTGTCTCAGCCTCAAGAGAATGTTTTATCTGAATTTATAACAGGTGTAAAAACTTGGGTGAATTCTTACTATATTGTCATTCTTTTGTCTTCTTCATTTTTTTTTGCAGCTTTACACATACGGTGTTTCAAAACATTGCATACAAGTGAACAGCACAAATGCAGAATCCTTCCAGTTTTTCATGAAAGACTTTTTCAGTACGGAGCATTTATTAGCTGGAAATGGGATGCAGCTTGCTGATGGAGGATGGCTGATACCTACAGATGAGGGAAAAGCTGGAAAAAAAGAGTTTTACAGGTACTGTTATTTATGAACTTGAGTACGCTATTTATTAGTTAGCAATTCTCTTATCCCCTAGAATAAATCCAACGCAGTGGTCTTTTAAAGCCTCTGACTGCTTTTTTTTACTGTGTATTTTTAGTACACCTCTGGTGTAAATAAAGACATTGTAGGATTGTAAATTTACTATGTAGACAAATGTTGTTAGTGATCTTCACTGACCATTAAAGAATGTCAGCTTAGAAAATTTAAGAGGATTCTGCAACAGTGTAAATAATCTAGAAAAATATTACCATTTCCTTTTAATTCAGCACTTTACCATTTTATTTAATTAGCATTAATAGGCTGGGATTTTGGTGTTGGTTTTTGGTTTGTTTGTTTCAGGTAGACAAGGATGTATTTCTGTTGGGCTCTACAGTTTCCTAATGGAAATGAAGGTTGATTGGGGAGGTGCTTGGGGCTTCTTTGGCAGGACTGGACTGCAAATATGTTTCTTCAGTATAATTTTTTTCAAGCTGACATATGATTTGAAGGAAGCCAAGACTTCAGTAGTAAAAACTCACTTGCTTGTTCAAGCTTTGAATATATGTAAGAAGCAAAAAAAGAAACAAAACATTGCACAAACAGCCCTTCCTCTTGCACTCTCCCTGCTCCTTCTACCCCTCCTTCTGCAGGTCTAAGATGAGCTGAAAACAAGCATGTTGAGTGCATCTCTCTTAAACACTTTCAAATTACATTTTAGTTTAGTTTGTACATTATAACTTCATCAGAAGCATGTGCAACATAACACAGAATTACCCGTGTATGGTTATTCCAGAAGAACTTCAGAAAATACTTAACCATTATTTCCTGATTTCCCCAGTAAATTTGAGGAGGTTTTCTTTCAGTGTCGCAGCTGCTATGCATTCACACCAACAAGGGACCTGTACTTGAGCAGGATTTGTAGGCAAACACGCATTGCCAACCTCTGTAGCATCAGAATTCGAGAGGTTTGCAACATTTGCTTCCCAGTACAAAAGTGTGACAGGGATGAGTCTGTTCCAAGCTGAACGACTGCTTTTATTTGAAAGTTTGAAGTTATTTTTGCCAAGAAGCAGTAGATCTCTGGGAAAAGTGCATCCAACTGCAGATCTTATTGTATTTGTACTCTGCTGCTTAGGCATCTTGGAGGTAATCTTGCTTAATTTCACACAATGTCCTGTGAATGGGAAAGGTGTTAAAGGATTTGCACAAAACATCTTAGGCCTAGATGTGCCAAATATTGGACCTTTTAGGCAGTCCAGCGTCTTGTTCCAGAAGCAGCTTGTCTTAATTGTTTTCAAGTGTGCTCCTGATTCTGTGGTCGGGCCATCAGGTAGATGGCTTTCCCCACATTCATTTTTCAGAAACAGAACAGAGAAAAAACCAATTCTTTCTCTTCCGCCATTAATGAAATGCCCTTCCTCCTGGCTGTGAGAGCTGAAAAAATAGATGTTTCTAACCCAGTGTATGCAGGTGATGGAGGTACAGCTTGGACGCAACACAGAGAGATAATCCATTTCAGCGGTCACTCGGTGGAGAGAAGAAAATAGTTCGGTAGCCACTGAAAGTTGTCCACGTGCATGCTTTAAAAAAAAAAAAAAAAAAAGCCAAAACACCTGAACCACAACTCCAGAAACTGTGAAGTTGAGGAGGTGTGGATTGTAACAAACTCATTGAACAAGCAGGGGAAATTCCAGGACTGAAAAGGAGTAGAGCACACCTCAGTCCCTCCATGCTTTGTGCAGGGCTGTAGGAAGCAGAGTGTGCCCCCAGAGCTGGCGTGAAAAGTCTCCATTTCAAGAACGCACACACGTAAACACATGTGTGCTCCCAAAGCACATGAGGACAATTTCAGACGATAACCAGATCAGGTTATAGAATGTAACCTTCCTGGTTTTACTGTAATAAATATTCCTTTGTTAATGTTTTCTATGCATGTAAATGGAATATAACACTAGGGAAAAACAGGCAAGTAAAAGAGAGGATTTCAGGCTAATTTATTGACAATTTATCTGCAGAGCTCTGTGTGACACTCCTGGTGTGGACCCCAAGCTGATAACAGAGGCCTGGGTTTACAACCACTACAGGTGGATCGTGTGGAAACTGGCAGCCATGGAAGTGTCTTTCCCACATGAATTTGCAAACAGATGTTTGACACCAGAAATGGTGCTGTTGCAGTTGAAATACAGGTATGTGTATAGTCGTGTGTTTGAAGTTGTAATCTGTGATGGTGTGTGTTCTTAATATTGCAAAATAAGCACCTCTACCCTGCTTATATTGTTAAACTTAGGTATATCGGTATTCAAGATGTAGTGTGTGTTATTTGCAAAAATTTAAATAACATTGGCTTTGCTGCAGTGGTACTTAATCATGTAGTTTGATTAAGCAATAGCTTGCTACGCTTGGTTTTCCACAAAGAATGTGATGAATTTTGTTTACTTTTACAAAGCACCATGAAATCTTTTTTCGTAGGTATGATTTGGAAGTTGATAAAAGTCAACGCTCAGCAATCAAAAAAATAACAGAAAGAGATGACGCGGCAGGTAAAACACTTGTCCTGTGTATTTCTAGAATCATATCGTTAAACACCGCTCTATCTCCTAGCAGTAGCAATAAAAATGTGGAAATTAAAAAAGCAGCAGCAGCAATAGTTGAAGTTACCGATGGCTGGTATGGGATCAGAGCTCTTCTGGATCCGCCTCTCCAAGCTTTCTTACGTAGAAGGCGGCTGGCGGTGGGTCAGAAAATCATCGTGCACGGAGCAGAACTGGTCGGCTCTCAGAATGGCTGTACGCCGCTGGAAGCTCCCGATTCCCTTATGTTAAAGGTAAAACGGAATATTAGTTCAGCTTGATTGAATGTGACCAAGAGACGAGCTAGATGCTATTCAGTAGAGCTGCATTCTGCAAACAGAAAAAGTTTTGTCAGGGCTGTATGAACAGACGGAGTGTTGTCGAAGTGCAGTAACCACATGTGTAAGACATGACACAAGGTTGTTGACACTATTGAGTAGGGTTGGAAGAGAAGTTTATAATATAAAATTCCGCCAATATAAAATTTTGCTGCATGTTTTGACAGTTGCAGCTCTTTTGATTCAGTTAAGCACCAAGTCACAAAACGTACTTATTCATCACATAGAACATGGAGCTTGTAGGAAGACAGTGGGGAGGTTGTGATAGGATGGGCCTGGGGAGAAGGGTCTTGATTTGCTTTAGAATAATTGAAGTTTCAGCATAAATACTTTGCTCCTCTAGTGTAAAGCAATGACTTGTCTCATAGATGCTCATTTCCTATAGAATTTTAACTCACTAAATTTTTATTTCTGATTTAAAATACATTCTTCAGTATGAAAAGAAACCTTGAAATTAAAATGTGGTATGTTTAGGTGTAAAAATGAGATACTCCTAGTGAGGTTAGCATGAAAATAGTCTTTCCTCTGAGTGTAATAAGTTGGATATCTTTTTGACTGACCAGTGACAGTTGATCATTCAATATTTAACTTATTCAGATTTCAGCGAACAGCACTCGATGTGCGCGGTGGCACGTGAAACTAGGATTTCATCGGGATCCCAGACCTTTTCCTTTGCCTTTGTCATCACTTTACAGTGAGGGTGGCGCAGTGGGGTGTATTGATGTAGTTATTCAAAGAACTTACCCTGTTCAGGTATGGTATAAGTATTTTATGAATCTAACAGGTTCCATGTAGTGTATAAATTATAGTAGTTATTTGCTCTGTCATTCCTCAAATCAGACATAGTATAGAGAGCCAAAAAATTAAGAAAATGTACCGTTACACGTAAAATGAACAGGAGTGGTTCTTGCAATGTGCACGTATTTAATACTTCAGGACTGGAGTGTCCTACTGTAAGGATTTGAGTTTGTGCTCAGTATCTTCTGGTAGGCTTGGTTTTCAGCTTCAGAAAGCCAGAAATAATTGACTTTCAGTTTTGTAATCTAAAAAGAACAACGCTTGTCGTAAAGAGAAGAAAAACGTTGACAGTTTCAACTCCGAGTAGAAGTGAAACCAATTTTTTCTTTGTTCATGAACATATATATTCCTGCAAAGAAGTTAAATATTATAACCGTTAGTATGATTACTTTTTCTTAAGTGTAGCTGGCAATATTGTGTAAGATTTATTATTTATAAATATTACTGAAAATATAATGTGATTATGATGTAAAAGAGAATGAAGTTCTTTTAAATACCAATTGATATCCAGTTATTTTAAATACGGTCAGGCTTCACTGTAACTACTTGCTTTTATAATGTTCCCGACAACAAAGAGAAACAATGTTTTTCTTAATAATCAATTATTTTAATGTTAACAGTTTAAGCAAGATACAACTTACAGTTTTTGTTAACTTTTCTCAGAGTATGTTACACTTGGCAGTACATGAAGGGGTGTGTTTTTCATTGCTTTCTTTCTCAAGTGTTGTGTAACTGTGGGTCAACAAAGAATGAATTCTGCAAAGGTAATAGCAATATTTGGTTTGGATCGTTGCTTTGATATTTAGATTGTTACTTTAACGGAAGGAATTGCAGCACTTACTATGTGAACTACAGAACTAACGTTTATTTAGGTCCCAGAAAGGGGGACTCTAATCTGTAACCATATGACTGTAAATGGCTTCCAGGCTGGGGAGGAAAGTGGTGCTTTCTATCTCCTTGTATCAGGAGATTGAGGTGCTGATGCAAATTTATTATTCTTTTTTTAAAAAAACCCACCAAGACTCTTGCTCAAAGAAATCAAAATGGTATTACCTCAAGAGTCAAGGAGCGTAGGAATCAGAGTAACCCTAATTAAAGGTGTCACATTGTGGATAGTGCAGGAAATACAGGACATGCAGTTAACAAGGCAGGCAGAGCCGATTTCAACAATTCACTGCTTCACAAAGATTAGTTCTTCCACCCTTCCTTATCCCGCTCTCACTGCACTCGCTTGCTGCTTCTCTCTGCTAAACCTGGAGCTCACGTGGTCCTGTTGATCTAATTCACTAAACCAGAAGTAACTAAATAATAATAGCAGCAACCCCCAACAAACTGCTGTCAGTTGAATTCAACTGATGTGGGCTGATGAGGTCAGGTATAGAATCATGGAATCATTCAGGTTGGAAGAGACCCTTGAGATCATAAAATCCAACCATTAGCCCTACTTTACAAAGCTCGTCCCTAAACCATCTCCCCCAGCATCACATCTGTGCTGGAGCCAGCCCAAGGGAGAAGATGGGACTGTGCGATACCGAAGAAGAGAGCACTTCCAGCAGCAGAGACCTCTTTGTGTGGCTCACCTGTCTCTTCGAGTCAGGCAAGCCCATTTTGGCAGGGTTGTGGACAAGGCTGTAGTCCTGTGGACTACATTTGAGGCAGAAAAAGTTTAAGAGCATCTGCAGAACGACATCACAATTTTTTACAGCATCTAATCTAGCATGTTAGAACAGACAGTGCAGTTGATGTGGAAAGACAAATTTAGGTAGAATGCAGTTCCAGTATATTTTTAAGGACTGAGTTTGATGGCTTGTATCTTAGTGCATGTACCAGTAGGATCCAGCTCTCTTCTAAATTACATCCTTGATACCTGGTACCGTAAGCTGTGCTCTCTTTGGCTGTGAAATCACTCAATTTTTACTACTGCTCCATTCTGTCTCTGTATCTTTGAAGATTCGCCAATCAGTGCTGTGGGGTTTTGCCTTTTATCTATTATACTTAAGAAATGATCTACTGCTTGTTTTCTAAAGCATTTTTCTTAACAACAACTACTAGAAGAAAGCTAGACAAGATTAAATATTTATGGGTTTGTTTGAATCTTTCTGCTTCAGTGGATGGAAAAGACATCAGCTGGTTCATATGTGTTTCGTAACAGTCGAGCTGAAGAAAGGGAAGCTGCCAAGCACGCAGAGGATCAACAGAAGAAACTGGAAGCTCTGTTTGCAAAAATCCAAGCAGAATATGAAGAGCGTGAAGGTAAAGTTTTTCTTGTTTCGAAACACATAGTAAAACAAACAAAATGCTCTTTAGCATTTATAGAAGAGTTTTAAAGAAACTGGCAACAACTTCTCTGGTGGTAGAGAAGCCGAGGTCAGGTGTTGGGTTGTTTTCTTTGTTGTTGCCAGAAGGTCCAAGGAGGGGATCCTTCCCCTGTTTAGCACTGATAAGGCCACGTGTGGATTATATGGGAGTATATGGGCTCCCCAGTACAAGAGACATGAACGTACTGAAGAGAGTCCAACAGAGGGCCATGAGGATGATGAAGAGGTAGGAGCATGTGACACAGGAGATGCTGAGAGCTGGGACTGTTGAGACTGGAAGGGAAAAACTCGGGGGGATCTGATCAATGTACATAAATACCTGAAGAGAGAGTGTAAAGAGGACAGAGCCAGGCTCTCCTTAGTGGTGCCCAGTGCCCGGAACTGAGGCCACAGGCACAAACTGAAACACAAGAGGTTCCCGCTGAACATCAGGAAACCCTTTTTCACTGTGAGGGTGACCACGAGCATTGCCTAGAGAGGGAGTGAAATCTCAATCCTTGGAGATACTCAGAAGCTGACTGGACAATATCATCCTGAGCAGCCTGCGCTAAGTGACGCTACTTGAGCAGGGCAGTTGGCCAGAGGTGCCTTCCAACTTCAACCAGTTTCTGATCTGGTAACACGATGACACTGCACACCTCTGCTAGTGATTTCCAGCAGTGGTTTCAGGTCTGCTGTTGCTCTAAGTGCAGCAATTGGCTGTTGATTGCTGCAGCTTCATGAAGCTCGCTGCTGCCCCCAAAATGTGTTTGCTTCCCCTTAGGTTTGACTCAGCTAAACTGGGATGAGGAGCGGTATTAGGATTCTTGCCACACTGATCACAAATTCCAGTTGTCTTGATGCTCTGGTCTGTTTTTTGGAAGGCGTTTTTGTTGGGCTTGCTTTTGTGGTTTGTTTTTCTTTGTTTTTTTTTTCCAGGAACAGAGAGGACTCCATCACTCCCAGTAGCCTGTGCAGTTCAAATTTCAGCGTAACATCTCCAACCCAGACAGCCTCTCCCTTTCCATAAATTTTCCTCGTGGCGATCTGTAACACTGAGGTGTTCTCTAACTGCTTTCTCAGAACCTGGAGTCCCTCATGAATAACAAAGAAAAAGCAAATAAAGACATACCCTAAAAAAAACCCCCCAAACTCCACCACTGAATTCTTAGTTGAAATCAGAGACAGCTTTATAGTTCCTAACTTTGCTAATGCAAACTTCCACGTATCATCACCTTATTGCATTGATCTATTGGGTGATATGGTTTAGGGGTGAACTTGTAGTGTACGGTCAATGGTTGGACTCGATAATCCCAAGGGTCTTTTCCAACCTGAATTGTTCTATGATTCTGTGTTTGACTGATCAAGTTGTCTCTGCTGGGTCTACTATGCTGAAGGTATTCGTCGGAACACGAGCAGCAAAATGACATCCCTGAGAAGAGGGTTAATAGTTTAATGAAGTTAACTTCTGGCTGGTGTCCTAAGAAGGCTTCATGTGCAGGCCTGTGGTCACCTCTTGTCCCAGATCTTTGTCTTTGAGACAGGACAGCCTTTTTTGCTTTGTGAGAAGTGACAGACATACAGAAAACACAGTCAAGTATGGGGATGAAGTTTTATTGCAGCCTCTCTTATGTGCAGACACCAATACTGGCTACCCTAAAGTTTGTAAAATGTTCTAATTTGTGTTATATTTAAATGAATGAGATTTGTATTTTCCTTATATATACACATACACATTCTTATATAAAAGTGTTTCGTATTTGTATTCTGGCAAGGCCTAAGTACTGCCATGATTCCTACATAACTATTACTTCTTTCATAACTATTTCTTCTTTCACTTTTAAAGCGTATTGCTCGTACCCAACATACCAGCTTTTTTCCAACAGAGAGAATGAGCAGAAGGACACTGAGATCACACGTAGTCACAAGACAGCAAATCCGCAGTTTGCAAGATGGTGCAGAACTTTATGAAGCAATTCAGAATGCATCTGATCCTGATTATATGGAGGTAACTCTAGATCCTGCTGGGCTAATTCTGAAATGCTTGTGGTGTAATTTACCATTTAGTACCTCCTGCTAAAATGAAGTATTAAATTACCATTTAGTTTTGTGGCCTTCCGAGATTTTCTACAGCATGCTTATTGCTAGATAAATTAACATTAAAATATTTTCAGAATTTTTAATCAAGGCTTATTGGAACAGATTAATAATATTTTGGATTGCAAAACAAAATGCTATTTTCTCTTGATATAAAAATCCAGGATATAGCACAATTAAAAGCTAACATTGCTTGTAATTTTATTACTTTGCTTTGTCTTGTGTATATATAACAACTAAATGCATCTCTCAAGTCTGAGTTTCACATGCTTACTCTTGCATACTGTTCACTGAAGTGTTTGAATGATTATATTGTCATTCCCTGTTCTAATTCAATCACAACTTCAAAGTGTTTATGCCTTTATTAATAAAGATGCAGGTGATTAGCCCCTGCCAGTAGTTAAACATTAAATACATGCGTTGCCTTTTGCAAGTCAGGGTCGCCGACCATTGTGAAGCCTAGGATCTGTGACTTTATTTGATAAAATATTATGCAGATCTGTGGTGCTACAGTTGAAAGCATCTGAATATTGAAGGCTGGGTCGGAAAGGTAACATTCCTGATGATGACTGTCCCAGCTCAGAGAGAGCAGCCTGCTGAGAGATGCAACTCTTTTTTTCCTTTTTTTCATTATTCTAGTATTTCTTGTTTCTTATGAAACAGGCAAGCATGGCTGTTCTATTAAATATCCACCTTAGTTATGCACTCTTAAGCAGGCTTCTCACCAATTGTCACATACGAACAGTGTATAACGTAATATTTAGACAACGGAGCACCAGCTGTGTACTAGTGACTCCTGTGGTGTTAACATACCTCACTTCAAGTCCTAGTAGTCTATCAGTTGAACAATAAATTGCTTGTAACAGATGAACACTTAAAGATCTAAAAAATCTTGACAGGTTTATTTTTTTATTAATAAAAAAGACACTGAATATATTTTCTGTTGATTACAGGGGTATCTCAGTGAAGACCAATTAAAAGCTTTGAATGCTCACAGGCAGTTGATGAATGATAAAAAGCAAACTCGGATACAGGAAGAATTCAAGAAGGCTTTGGAGTCAGCAGAACAGGGAGAAAACAGTTGTTCCAAAAGAGATGTGTGTACTGTATGGAAACTATGTGTGGTAGACTACAGACAGCAAGAAAAACATAAAGGTTAGTACTTGGAAAATTATTAATATCTTTTATCTAAACTCACCAGTGCAGGAGGTAGATTCGAAAAGTTTCCTGACATAGGCTACCTTGCACGTCAATATTTCCAATTTTATTTGAGTTCTGGTTTAGGGCTTTTAGGTGAGAAGGTGTGTTGTGGATTTGTTTTGTTTAAAAGCTTTCAGATAAGTATCGCACAGCTGATAAATCTTAATCTGGTATCGCTAGGTGCAATACTGAGTATCTGGCGTCCACAGCTAGAACTTCATTCGTTGTTAAAGGAAGGCAGTCGGTACAGAATCTACCAGCTGTCAACGTCACACTCCAAAGGAAGATCAGACTCAACTAACATACAATTAACAGCAACAAAGAAAACTCAGTATCTACAACTACCAGTAAGTTCTTCGAGTGCATAAATGTGTATCATTAAAATGCATCACATTCTATACGTGTTGTAAATACTTCAAAATTTTGTGTTTCTTCAGGTGTCGCAGGAGGTGCTGGTACAGATTTTCTTTCCGAGAAAGGCTCTAAAATTCACCAGTTTGTCAGATCCTTCTTTTCAGCCACCATGTGCTGAAGTGGATTTAGTCGGAGTTGTAGTTTCTCTTAGCAGAACAGGTACGCTGTGGACCACACTCATGTCCCCTCCATTGAATAAGCACTAAATTTTTATTATTTTTTAATTTCAAAACTCAAAATGATCTTGGTGTTGTACCTGCAGCTCAGGCCTGTGAAAACCTGCCAATACAGAATCATAGAATCATAAAGGTTGGAAAGGACCTTAAGATCATCAAGTCCAATCTACAGCCCTACACCACCATAATACAGCCCATCACCATGATGTGCTGGCTGTTTCGTCAAGAAAAACTACCTTCACTTATTAGCTCAGGAAGAATTCAGTAAGAGATGATCTAAGCTCAAGAGAAGCTTTTATTTTTTTCTATAAATGGTGGATGTGAGTTCTCACATCTGTGTTCAGAATCTGCAGAAGAACCATCGTGCGTGTATGTGAGCGCCCTCTTTTGCATAGCGTCAAGGAATGAGTGGAACGCAGGCACTGGAGCTCATGGGCAGGGACAGGTGGATAATTTTCCAAATTAAAAGGAAAAGCACCGTAGCAGTATTGGTTTTTAAGCACTGGAACACAGACCTTTCAGTTGATTTCTGTCATCAGTAGGGAAATAGTGTAGAATACGGATGAAGCACGCAACATCTGTTACCATGGAGATAAGCTGCCTTGTTACATTTATCAATTCTCTTTCAAGACACGCGTGTCTTTTATAGATACAAATTGTGGTAATCAACCTTCACGTAAAAGATTTTAGGTTTAATTCAGACTTTTTTTCCTTGCTTTCAGGTTTTGCAACTCTGGTGTACTTATCTGATGAAAGCTATAATTTAGTAGCAGTGAAGATCTGGACAGATCTCAGACACTTGGCTATTGAAGACATCGTTGTGCGCTGTTCATTCATTTCTGTAAGCAACCTTCAGTGGCAATCTGAATTCAGATCAGAAATTCCAATGCTGTTGGCTGGAGATCTTTCTATATTCTCAGCCAGCCCAAAGGAAAACTATCTTCAAGAGACGATGACTGAACTGAGAAGTGTGATAGAGGTAAGTCTGTAGATTTTTAGTTTAATGCTTAATTTTCATTACTGATGCATTACATTCTTCACCAAGGAGTCATAAGTACTGGTGAATCTTCAAAACACTGCACATGATGTTGAATTTGAGGGAATTTTTGGGAGATGGAGTAAGGTATCAATGCACTTTTCCAGGACAACTCTACACCTATTGAATGTCTTTTTGATTTATTTTAATTCAGCTCAGCCCACTCTGGTTTTAGGATGTGCCACACAATCTTCTCTGACTAGCAAAAAATATTCTACCTGTCAATAGAGAGTGTGTCCTGGACATTTTAAAAGTTTAAATTTACTGTCTTGCTCAGCAGAACATGGTCGGTATGGGATTACTGATTTCATTTACTTCTTTTCAATTTTCTAGCTGTGCTAAATAGCACATATTGGTCAGGCATTCTCACTTTGTAGTGAGAAATAACTTGAAGTATAAAAGGATTTTCTTCTTGTTAACAGTAAAAGGAAGGTGTGATATTTCCCTTCCTGAAAATTGCAGCAGTCTTCTAAGTTGTTGGTTTGATATAAAATAAACTTCTAGTGGGATTATGATGAGAAAACAAAAGTCCTAAATACCTCATTTAGGAGCATATAATACTTAGACAATTTCAAGAACAACTCTTGTAAACTCTTTTTTATAGAATGTGGCATCCTTTTGCTCTGATGCAGAAAGTAAATTGATGAATTTGCTACGAAGGAATCTCTCGCTTACACCCAGTTTAACTAAAAGATGTGGCCTGGAATGCCCCTCTCCTTCCTGCAGCCCAGGTCTTTATGCAGAGGATAAAAGCTTGGTAAGATTCGAGTAATGAGGAGGTTGGACTAGATGATCTCTAGAGGTCCCTTCCAACCCCTCACATTCTATGATTCTGCGATAATTAATGTTGTGCTTATACTGCCAGTACACCCAGTAAGGACATCAGCAGTTTTATACTGGTAGCTGTGGCGGGTGATCTTGCTTCTCAGTCTGCTCTAAGCGTTCTCTTCCGGGCAACGCCAGCTGGTTGGAAGCTTTCACTGGAGGGGGGAGGTTTAGGATTATTCCCCAGAAGAACCGTGTGACTGTTCTTCCTCCAAGCAGGACATGAAAACTTCCCCTTGTGGCCTGTGTTTTCACAGCATACTTTAAATAATCTAATTTTATCTTAGTAAAATGAATGATCCTTTCCCTATAGAGGATTTATCCCTTCCTGGGTCCCACTGTGAAGATGATCTGACATGGATGTCACTGGAAAGAACAATCTTGATCTGTAAAGTTTTCTTTCACAACACACTGCAGGTCCTACCTTTGTTCAGAGAATTTACCTCCTGGTCTTCTTTTACTAAAAATTGTTCACTGTTTCCAGGATTTAAAAGGGAAGAGGTATCACCTAGTAAATGTTTATATTTTATAGAAGTATTGACAAAAAACAAGTTACATAATACTCAAGTTACCCTTGAAATTCTTACTGGAGTGCAGTCAGAAAAATTTTTTTCCAGCCATTAGTTGCCAGGGAGGTGGAAACTCCCTGACATGAGATCAGTTTCTGGGCACTATATTTAAGCTTGTAAAGCAGCCTTTTCCATTTCAGAGAGCGTGCTAATATTTAATTCTGAAGGTTTAGTTTATACTCAATTAATAAATGCATTAAACAAGTTAAAACAAATGAGATATTAAAGCTGTTCCCTAGTTGAACATGTGCTTGAATGATCTGCTGTGCAGGCTATCTCATGTGTATTGTTATCTTCAAGTTTTTTGGGTCTTCAATGTTTTTTCCTTCTTTTTTCCCTATTTAACAACCTGCAGTAGAAGACTTGGCTCCTTTTTAAGAGTCCTTTGATTTCTTACTATCTGGGGCAGGAAAGTTCCCATACATTTAGCTTAGATCTCACAAAGAGAATGTAAATGTGCTGTCTGTAATGTACATGTCAGAGATGATTTATCGAGCATCAGTACTTGAAACAATAGTATTAGTCACCATCAGAAGACACCAAACTGATGTCCAAGTGTGACACGAATGCTGACAGAGGTTTTTTGTACCAGTCTTTTTCCCCCTTGTTTTGTGGAAGCAACTGAGGAAACTAATGAAATGGGACATTCTATTCAACATCAAATATCTCTTTTTAACTAGATCTCTTCTAAAATGGAAACAAAGCATCCAAGCCCTTTGTCAACCAGCACACCCACTATGAAACTTGTTGCACAAGGGTCAGCAAAAACACCTTCGTCGGCTGCAGTTACTGAAGAGCATCCCAAAAACATCAAAAAGAGAAAAGCCATGGACTTCCTCAGTTGCATACCTGCCCCTCCACCACTAACACCAATCTGTGCAAAAATTTCTCCATCTTTAAAAAAAGCCTTTCAGCCTCCACGAAGTTTGGGTTTACAGCACAGCAAGCCATCCCGAGAAACTAATCAGAGTATCGGTCATGTCACCCCCTGTAGAAAATTGAGAGAAACTGTCCATCTTCCCGAGAACGACCTGGTTGCAGATGAAGAACTTGCAATGATTAATACACAAGCGCTAATGAATAATTTAGCAGAAGAAAAGAAGATTGATTATGTAAATGAAAATAGCAATACACCAGCTACTGGTTTATCTGATGATCTTTTGCCCAAAAATAGTTCCAGGTCTACTGGGGATGCCAATAACTCATCAAAAAGCAGTTCTGAAGTAGCTGAGGCTCTTCAGAAGGATATAGAGGAACCTGAGGACTCGTTACCGGCCCACAGAGTGCTACGAAGAGCAAAACCCCGAAAATATTATTAAAGGCACATGTATAGTATTGTATATATTTCAAATTCAAATCATTTTTACACTTTGTACATTAAATCCTGAATGTAAATAATAAAGCTATATTACTGAAACAAAGACTCAGCAAATGACACTTCATCTGCAAAATAATTTGGAGTTCAGTAATCACACGCTTCTCAGACAAAAATACGTTGTACAATAGCACCAGTGTCGCTGAAGGTTTGATGACATTTTTATAAGCCATTGCTTTGATTGGATGTGTTCTTAAATTACAGCAGGATCTTTGTTTCAGTCTAAAGCAACCTGTTTTGTTACTCTCTGCAGTATTAAAATAGTCAGAAGCAGCACAGGGCAAAAATAAACAGGAATTGTTTATTATTAGCACACGTGATGCTTTAATTCTGAAATTATGCTCTGCAATTCTGGCATGGTTCTTGTGCTTTTCCCCTCAAACCTTTCACGTAGCACTAAAAGAGGTTTAGAGAACAGCTGTATTTGATTCATAGTGAGATGCCACGCAAAGGTATTAACGACAGATTGGTCAGTGTTTCTGTGCCGCCTCTCCTTGAAGAAGCACTTGAGGCTGCAGCATCCCAAAAGACCATCAGCTCACTCTTTGATTTCATCACAAGATCCTTCTGCTGGGAGCGAGTGAGTACTGGAATTCATTACTCTGTTCTCATGCATTTCAACAGGTGAAGCTTCTCAGAATTTGAGTTTCTCCACTGGAGAGGGAAACAGTTCTGCTACACCAGCTGCCAGCTCCACATTTTCTTTTGTTGGTTGTCAGGCTGCCCCTCGCCCTGCTGCTGGGTCAAAGGAGGGAGGGTGTTTCGGAAGAGAGACCAGAAGCTGCCCCTCAGCAACCTTTCAGGGGTCCTCTGCCACTCCCTTGGCTCAAGTCCTCGGCTAGGGGTGGCTCCTGTCACCGAGCTGGGTGCTCTAGCAGGACCGGAGAGCCGTCAGCTCGCTGGTAGTTCTTACACCTTTGTGCAGCGCTCAGAGCTGGGTTCCCCAGGCCCCCCTAGTTCACAAGTATGAGACTAACAATGCAGCTTGAGTAGAAAATGCGATTCATCTCATTTTATCTACTGTGCCCTGAAGACAGCTTTGCTTTTGCCCAGAAACGGCGTATTTCCTTATCCCTCTTGTACTTCTCTGCCTGCTAACCTGCTAGCTGAGTGGCAGCTATACCTGTATTTCTCAAAATCCAACGTGAGCTGTCTGCGTTTCCTACTGCAAAATAACTCACTACTGTCCTATGAACACTGCCTAGTAATCCTCGTCTACTTAAAAAATAGCTGCCATTGCAAATGCTGAATTTATAAAATGTTTCTTGCTGAGAGCATAATCAGCAGAATTTAACAATATAGATAAAACTGCAGGACAGCTGCTTTTCTCATCACCCATCAGTCAGCGGCTTTTCAGCACTTGGTGGTAGAAGCTGATTTCTCCCCTTACAAGATCATTCTTTCCCCCCCCTTCCTTTCTTAAGTCATTATTTTGTACTTCTGAGTGAGTTTGGGTATTGAATTCAAGATTGGTATATCAAAGCCTTGCACTTCAGGTATTCAGAGCTGCTCCTGTAGCCCTGTTCCTATTTAGAAGTTAAGCATTAACTTAACACTGATGTTTCCTTTGTAGCAGCCTTGGACCTGGACTTGTCTCAGGATGGGTTGAACTCCTATGTCTTGGTGAGATCAAGGGCTCAGTTTGGTGTTAAACGGCATCCTGTCTCCAGGCCAGAGAAGCCATTTGACCGCAGATAAAGCCAGGTAAGACCCGCATGAATCTGGGCAGCAGAGAGGTAGAGAGGGAACAGCAGCCGATGTTGTTACAATCTGTTACAGTGACCTTTTCCACCCTTCACTTTCTCTCTCTTAAAGCTCGGCAAGCATCTTGCTCCAGGCAAGATCGTGCGGGAAGACAGAAAAGGTTATACAGCCAGATATAAAGTATTGAAATGACAACTGCATGGAGAAGGAATTGGCCACATGGCCTGTAAAAAAGAAAGAATTTAGGAATGTTAGTGACAGAGCACGATGCAGGGGAAAAAAAAAAAAAGTACGCAAAAAGTGTGTGGCACAGCCAGTAAATTTCATCATGAGCTTGAATGGATTTCTGTGAAGGACGAGGGACAAAAGGGAGTAGAGCTGGTACTGGGGATAGTGCTCTTTGGTCATGTAGAGCTGTGAGATCATAATCCAGTGACAATTAGAGAGTTACAGGCAATAAAAGTATTTTTAAAATGTAGTAGAAAAATATAAGCATAAAAAAGCTTAGAGAAAAATGTAAAACTAGAGACTTTTGTACCCTGATAATTAAAACATAGTGAGGAATCCACCTCTTCAGCGAAATGACACATCGCCTGTACGTGCCACGTGTGCTCTTCTGTTTGAGAAGGCTGGAGCAGGGTTGGAACAGGCACCCATGCCGTAAGCTGCATTTGCTCCACGGGAGCTTCCCTCATCTCTGCTTGGTTTTTCAGACCGAAGAACACTGTGGAAGGTAACGTTGTGGTCGTACTGTTCTTTCATCTGCTGTATCTTTTGTCGAGGGACATGATGAACATTTCTTCTGTAGAGTCAACATTAATAGAAAAATACAAGTATTTAGCTGCCCATGTATTAGTGGTTATGTTAAGCTTGCCAAGGTTCCTGATAATTTCAGGATAACGGTTCTTGTCCCCACTCATCTATTTCTAGCCTTTTTTTTTCTTTTTTTTTTTTTTTGCCAAATTTGTTCTTCACTTCACCTGCTTCTTAAAAATGTTTTTTCTGACTGCTGAAAAATGTAATGCAGGTATTTTTTGTGGGCAGCCAGCACATAAGAAGTTAGACTAATGCTTAGAAATGTAGGCCAGGTAAGAAAGAGCTACATAACAGACCTGTGCGTTACTTTACATTGGTTTTAGTGCTAAGTGCTTGTTAGCCTTAGGATGAGCTTTTCTAGATCTGGAGAAATGCTGACCAGGGCCGTAGACAACCCAGACACTGACTCATAATCAACAAGTAGAGAGGTCGAAAAACCTGTTGTTGCTTTGTCTGAGCGTAAGTGGTGAAAAATCATCCCTGCTGTGGCTCAGGCTCAAGCACAGATTTGTAAATGACAATTTTGAGAGGGAGAAGAGGATGCTTAAAGATGCAAAGCTTTCTGGATAGACCACTAATGGCATCAGACTTTCAAGACGTTAGTGGGAATTGTTCTTCCAAAGACGACCAGGGGATTTCTGTTTGTCTGTGACTTTGCGAACTCTGAATATTTTTGATTTTGCCATTCCGCTCTGCAAGGCACAATTTGTGTTCTAAACCAAAGTTTTGTCCTGCACCCATATTTTCAAACCCTGGTGTTGTGCAAAGCCTGTGTTGCTTGACATGCTTTTTCCCCTGATGGAACTAAGGTGCAGGGTGCCAGCCGCAACACCCCACTTGTGAAGCCGACTTGTTTCAAATGAGGAATAAAACAAAATACAAGGTAGCGAGTAGCTCTGCCTATACTGAATATCTGCAAAATCTGCCTCTGCAGCGATGCCCTACAAACAGCTCCCAGCTGGTGCTGGTGAAGCAAGAGCTGACACTCGCAGTTGGCTGCCAAGGCCGGTGGTGTCCTCAACTTCAGCCCCAACACCCTGTGGAGCACGTGTCGTACGAGGAACGGCTGAGGGGTCTGGGGCTGTTTAGCCTAGAGAAGAGGAGACTGAGGGGAGACCTTATCGCTCTCTGCAACTACCTGAAAGGAGGTTGTAGCAAAGTGGGGGTTGCTCTGTTCTCCCTAGTGGCAAGTGATAAGACAAGGGGAAATGGCCTGAAGTTGCACCAGGGCAGGTTCAGGTTGGATATTAGAAAGAATTTCTTTACTGAGAGCCATTGGAACAGGCTGCCCAGGGAGGTGGCTGAGCCGCCGTCCCTGGAGGTGTTTAGGGCATGGATAAATGTGCTGAGGGACATGGTTTAGTTGTGTTGATAAGGATAGGACAAAGGTTGGACTCGATGATCTTGAAGGTCTCTTCCAAATGAAGGTATTCTATGATTTATAGGCTATTTTTTTAGGATATATGAAGAGAAACAAGACTGGTCTTTCTCAGAGCACACCACTAAAATGAGAAGCTGTCTGCAGTACCAAAGAGATAAAGATGTACCTTGTCAGTTCTTGAACATTGAACTTCCAGGGTGTATCTGGTTCTTGGAATACAACTTCGTATCTGTTTTCACGTGCCTGAAGAAGGATACAGAAGTTTTAGAAGTGTGGCTGCGGAGCTCAGGAGTAACCAATCTGCCAGATCGCCCTAGACTTTATCTGGCTAACAGATGTATCCTGTGCACCAGGAGCCAGAGAGAAGACAACCATCAAGGTGCTGGTCTGAGTACCAGCTGCTTCATGTCCATGTAAGTCAAAGGGTTTGGGTCTCCCAGCAAAACTTGCCTTAGCACTGCCCCCAGTCGCTGTGCCCCATGGCAGTGGCGTCCTGGCACCTGGAACTCTCTGGAAGTCACAGATGGTTAGAGAGCCACAGGCTGGCCACACCATTTTGGAGCTTCTGGGAGTGAGGTCAACACTTAACAGTTGTGTTATTTCCAGCCACTGAGCCTCATTTTTTTTAAGGCAAGGCAACATATATATACATACATATATTATGCACAGCCCATAACTCAAGAACAGAAAAGTGAGTATAGTGTTAGCAGACAGGCCATATTATGAAACTGTACTGAAAATATTGCCCCCTCTGCCAGAACTCTGGACAAGAGATACCCTTGTGCTTTCGAAGACTCTTTGTGGTGTACTTTTCACAAGCCAAAAGCTAAAATTGTCAGTCATATCTTGATATACGTGTCAACAAAGAGTTTGGGAGCTCTTCATTTCATGTCACTGCTGTGAAAGGGGATGACATCCTGATCGCCAGAAAGTAACAGGGCAAGTTCAACAACAGTTAATCTTTTCAAATAATTTTGCCTTCACTGAGCTACCTAGCTGAGTAGATAAAACTGCAGTGCCAACTCTGCCCTTACTTCCTCACAATATCAATCCTTAACTATAATTAGAGAACAAAGAGAAAACAGAAATAATTTTTTTTAGCCATGCTAAGAACTGTTTCAGTCAGAGAACCTCTTAAATGTCATAGCTGAGCATACAAAAGCGATAAATCAGAGCTTTCCCTACCATCATCACATACGGCTTCATTTCCCAAGCATGGATGTTGGTATTATCAATAATAACCGGGCTTTTCCCATTCTTCATTGCTTTGCGTGCTGTAATGTAACACATTATGTAAAGCTCAAAATGCATTAATTAACAGACTGAGATAGGTCTTACTAGCCCCAAAGTGTCCTTTCTTTGCCCACTGCTATCACGCTTAGTTCCCCACTGGGCTTGGGTTTGGAGCTACCACTCAAACACGAGCAGAGGTCAGTGCCCAGCAGGTGCTCTCCCAAAGGAGGTGATGCAGCTGCTGGTTGTGCTCAGGAGTAACATCTGAAGCTCCCGTGTTACACATTTAGTGGTATCACAGCACTGGGTATTTACCACAGCTAAAAATGACTGTTATTTGCAAAAAAAAAAAAAAAAAAAAATCCCTGTTATATGATCTCAGTGCCATTGCTAGAAATTATTTCAGAGCACAGCTGAAAAAGCATGTCGCGCTTTTCTCTCTGAAGTAGAGACCTGGGTTGTGTCATTCTCCAACTTACAATTAGGTTTTCAAGTTTTCCTCCTGGCTATCACTAATTCTCCCCTGTAACACCCCCTCCCGAGTCAGGGCAGATATCTAGGAAGCTCCAGTCCAAAGGATGCGGTGCATACAGCCGTGCTGAGCCACTGCTGGGCTGGTATTTGCAGGCCACCTGCTGTTAGGGAGCTTCAAAAATGCTACCTATTAGTCACCATTTTATTTTCTAAAGTAACATCTACCAATCACCAACAATTTTTTCATTTCTAAATTTGTCTCTTGTAAGTCAGAAGAAATAAAATCAGAAGTAGTTGATGAACCAGCACCCCATGAACTGCAGCCACTTGGAGATATTTTAATTTTGGGGGCTAAGTTTAATGACAGACTGAAATGCAAAAAGCCCCAGATCGAGTTCAGTCACCTCTCTTCTGGTTCCATTTGTGTGCATCCTCTAAGAAGTCAGGCTCAAATATGTACACGCCATCTACGACAAAGAAGTCATCAGTACTAAGAACTACAGCACTGGGATAGTCACGTTTCAGTTGTCTGAAAAAAAATAAAGAAGGATTAGTACAGCCTAATGCGTGCCTTTAACAGAGACCATTAAATCAAGAGCCATATGAATGCTCTGCAAAAACGCAGAGTGCTTCATTTGAAAACCTCAGCTTCAAGGATCCTCCTCTTGTAGAGGTGAGTATTTTTATTTATTTTCAGCTTTTAAACATGTTCTATAAACAAATCTGAATTGCCTAGACTGCAGCCCCGAATGCAACAGATCCATAAAACCAGTCCCCTGTGGTCAGTGGAACAGGGCAAACCCCTCTCTCCCCTCTGACTTGTGTCCCACAGCGATGCTCATTCAGACTCCAAATGCTCATCCTCTGCCTGTCCTTAGAGAGCATAAAAAAAAAAAAAATCTTAATGCAAAATTGTGTTTCCATTTGTGTGTAATCCAGACTTCTCTGTGCCCACAGACAGAACTGTCTATCTTTTCCAATTAAGGGAGTGCTGGGGCAGGAGGGAGTCTCTGCAAGAAGTCAAGGAGAGACCATGGACTCATCTCACTGCTCTCTGTCTCCCTAAGGCCCAAACTGAAAAGAAAGCAAGGCCCATCGAGAAACCTCGCGGCTCTCAGACATGAAAAAACGCTGCCCTGCATTATCTCACACGACACGGTCTCCAGTCTGTGGGACACATTTCAATTTCCCCGAAAAAATGCTTCTCTTCCATCCCTGTAAGCTGCAAAACAACTCTTTCTCAACACCTGATCGAATTGAGCAACAGCAAGGGAAAAGGAGCCTCTAGGTTATCAACAAAAAAACAGACACAGACCAGAAAAGGCTTAATTCTGTCATCTCTAGCTCTGCCCTGACCATTTACTTCCCAATTTTACCCTAATCTGCCCACTAGCAGCAATTCTTCACTAGGACTGCACGTTGCGTTTAGCTGAAAAAAAGCCAGCTTCTGGCTCTGCCTCCAATGTAACTTCTACTATCTGCTGATTAATTAAGATTATTTTGTGGTAGAAACCACCCCACAGAGATTCACGTCTGACAGGGTGGCCAGGACTGGGCCACCATTAGGGTTAGCACCTACATGTCGTTACCTTCTAGCTCCAAAGAGATATTTTATTCATATTATTGCTGCCAGGCAAACAGATCTAACGAAAGTCATGTTGCAAACTGTTAGCAAACAGTCAAATTATTTTGGCTTGCATTTTGGTCCCAGGCAAAGAATTCTCATCATGGAAAGCATGGGAGCATCTAATGCTTATCTGGTTACTCCTGTGTTGATAAACTGATACACGCAGCTCTCACTGTAATTCAGCACCTCACCTTTCCCACTGCTTTACCCACCTGCATAACAATCTCTTCTCTACAAACTGGCGGTGCTAAAATATGTATCATCCCTTTAGCTACTAACAGACAGACAAAATTGTACACTAATAACAAGATCTCTAATTGTACACTAATAACAATAGATCTCAAAACTACTTCTTTTCTTGCTCAGTGCTTCTTTTACAAATGTTCTCGACCTGTGCAAATTTTAAAAATTATTTTCTTAGCATGTACCTCACTAAATTTTTAACAGATGTAAGTACAGCCAGAGGAGAGCTTTGATATTAACCCTTAAGCAATCTAAATAGTAAGTGATTATCTGTAAACTCAGTCTACTATCCTCACAGTCTTCGTAATTAAAGTAGATAAAACTTGAGCTTTAAAGGAAGAAGAATATGGCACAAAATGTGCTAAGAACTATGAATTACTGTCAGATTTGCTACACTCATACCAAACAAACTGCTAATAACAGAAACATAAGGAAACACGAAATGGGAAAAAGATGGTTTACCTTCTGCTTATTTAGCTGGTTTTAACTTGTGACTTTCTAAAACAACCAGAGAGTCACTAAGGATTACGACCATTATCTGTAACCCCCTATTACCCAGGAAGCTGACAGAAATCCCATTTCTTCTGTCCCTTAAAATTTCAAAGGGGATGTAAATCTCTTCAGTGCGTTCCTTGAGAAATAAGTGTTCTGCAGTCTACGCAGGAACACAAGCTGGTTTCCAAGAAAGGTTTTACATAATCACTTCAGGCTCCTAATCCCTGTACACAATAAAAATGCTTCTATTTTATCAAAACATGCATGAGCTATGCAAAATGGGAGGACCTGTGACTAGTGTGATTAATTAATAAATTTTGAGCAGCACTATAAAAGGAAAGTTACAGATCACCGTTAGATCACTAAGTGTAAAGCATACAAAGGAGGAGAAGAAAAATGAAATCTCTCTGCAAGATCAAAAGCATCTTGATCTGCAGATCTTGAAAGCTCTGTATTGTGATAAGCGGTATCTGTCAAAGGTTTGGCATTAATTTGCCTACTCAGGACACAAAATTGCACAGGGTTACAGCTCTCTGTCTTGCAGTAGATACAAAACAGGGTGTGCTCTGTTATCTTGCTAAAGAAAAGTTTACGGCTGTTTCAGAAAACAGAAAGAATAAGAAAATAAGAAGAGAAAGGGGGGTGTTTTCTCTGCTTGCAGTATATCTCCCCAAACTCTTTCTCCTCCTTCCGCAAGGCAAAGAAGATTTTCATGCCAGGTGTTGGATCTCATTGGATCAGATCTCATTAGATCAGCTGATACGGCTGGGAAAAAAAAATGGTTTCATAGGCTTCTGCCCTGGAGTTCTGACACAAGAGCAGCAAACCTCACGTATCTACCTGCAGCCCCCAGGAACTGACAAAGCGTCTGGAAACCTGAAGCTGTGCAGAGGCACAAGCTTCGCTGTCTGCTCGCGGAAGCCTGGGTAGCAAGGAACGATGTGGTGTCCTGGTTGGCACTGGTGCAGACTCCACCTGCTGTCTCACCCTGAGCAGATTGATGATGGCTGCTGTGATTAAAAAAAAAAAAAAAAAAAAGAGAGAGAGTATCTTTCTGCTGAAAGTACAGCTGTGCTTCTGTTCGACTGCAGTAGCATTGTAACAGCTGCCTCAGTGAACAGACAGGTGGTTTTAGAGTCTCCTGCTTTACTCATCTGAAGATAAGTTCCCAGAGAATCATAGAATCAATCATAGAACCATCATAGAATCATAGAATGTGTTGGGTTGGAAGGGACCTTTAAATGTCACCTTGTCCAACCTCTCGGCAGTGAGCAGGGACATCTTAGATCAGGAATGATTTATATCAAGTCTCCTTTCTTTCCAAATAGTATCTTCAGTGCTTTCAAACAATCATTTCAGATTTTAACTGTATATATAGACAACAAAATAATTACTCCATGTTTCAACTAGCTGGATGCATTAGAGTACTTAAAAGAAGTCTCCATCATCATTAGTAATATCACTGGAAATAAAAAAAAAAAATCCATAATGGTATTTCATAGGCTGTCCCGTTTTTCCATCAGAAAATTTGAAAATATATCAATTTCTGATTTAAGCCTAGTAAGCTGATTGGAAGGAACATTTTCAGTGCTCAGACAGCAACAGAACGGTATGCCAGGCAGGTCCCAGAGCTGGTAAATTCCCAAGCTACTTCCAATGTAACGAAGATCAGAACACCTATGTACCAAAATCAAGTACAACCACTCGCTCTGGTCACTCTTCCTAACACAAAACTTTCCCGTGGTGTTGGTTTCAGCGGAAATCCAGAGCTATGAGATGTGGAGCCCGTGCCCAGCCCTATCAGCGGTCTGCCATGGCTTGCCCTGAGGACTCTGCCCTGGTGGGAGCCTGCCAGTGGATCCCTGCACTGTGGGCAGAGCACACACGTGACTTCATGTCTCACCTGCAGGGGACGAACACATTGAGGAGAATCACCTGAAGTGGCTTTATACAAAGGTAAATGTCTATAATGTTGCCACCTGGAAGCAGCAGCTGCAGAGCTGAAGTCCGTGAACCCTGTAGGAGCTGCAATTCCGCACCAAGGTTGGGGTGCTGGTAACAGCGGTAACTGCTAGATCGATAACATAAAGCTTTACATGAGTTGTGCACCATTGCAATCAGTTGTAGAAGAGCTGGAAATACAGCTACTGCCCAACAAAGAGTCTGCTGGGGAAGCAGGTACGAGCTTGCACACAGCCTATTTGTTGAGGGTTTTTTATACGACATTTTTGGAAGCTATACCTGCTACTGCACCTCAGGTAACTGTTTCCTTCACAGTTGCCTGGGTGTGATCAGGAAATCTGTCCTGTGAAGTCTAGAGGTTGGGGCGGGGGGTAATGCATCCAGGAGGAGGGTCCTACAGGTGCCTGATGAAGGCTCCTGGAAATGCAACTCCCAGCTGCCCCTCTTGTCCTATGTACTTCTGCTGGTGGTGACATACTGTGACCAGCTAGAAGGAG